TTTGCTATTATACATTGACATTGATTAGATTCAAAAGGTCCAGCTTAAGTTTTGTATGTAGAAAAGACAGCATGTTTATATGAAGACAGAGTTCAAAACAACACCTTGGTATGAKGGCTGTCGGTTACTCAGGTACGTACCGTGTCTTGTCCAATATTAAAACACACAGAACAACAAGGCACAAAGCTTTAAATTCTGATCTTCAAATCTAATAAGAAAAAGTTACTGCAAAAAAAACCCAACAGATTCTGGATAATCTGTTGAATGGATTCAATTTGGATAATTGAATGGATAAGCTACATTCGAGATGCCTAAAAAGGAAACCAGAAGGTTTGGGATACACCTAAGTATTTGRGATAAGTGGAAAATGCTCCAGTCTTTTTAAATCCCTACCTTTCCCTGGGAGAAAACAACTGAGAGAAGCAGCAGGACTAAAGGAAGAGTTTCTAGCTGCTCACTGGTAGACACTATGCTGGAAGTCAATTACAAAGGCAAGAAAGCAGGTTTTAAAAAACTTGTTTTGTATTGCAATTTATTGCCGTGTTGAAAAACTATCCTAATTGGCCATGACTTTTGCTTAGAATCAAAAGAGGATGTGGTACAACTCYACACTTTCCAGGAAAGGGGTGTTAAAATGTTTCAAAACAAGCTTTGGACTAAACAAAAATAGATTACATTTCAAAAGAACTGCATCAAGTTCCTCGCAATTTCCGTCTGCATGCCTGACGCTCACATTTTATACTTCCGTATCTTCCCAGAATGAAGAAAACCTGTTAACCAGCACAAGTCATCCAATTGCTCTGCCATTCAAGCCCTCAGCTAAAGCCAGATGTAGCACTGATTGCCACTGCTCTGAATTCTATTKCTTTACCAGAAATCATTCTGCCAACAAAATACTGCACTTAAAGTAAAATGCTGACATTTAAATCTTTAAGAATTTGACATGTTGCATCACTTGAACATCTACAAGTTCTTTCAGGTGTGGGAAGCTAAGTTAAACAAACTCAAGCAAAAAGAATTTCTGCCCTGTGATTTTGTGCTCAGTCCCAAAAACCTGCAAGCTCCCTTCAAAGGGACAAAAATATGAGTGTCCTCTAGGCAGACTTGAGAGAACACACAAGGAGAGGCACAAGAGAAGGTGAGGAGGAAGCCCCTCAGCACTRCTCACCGAATGCCATAGGCATCCGCCAGGTCTTCCCAAGGACAGCCCCCAGACAGGCATGTCTCAAACTCCYGCTTAAGGGATATTGCTTTGCTTTGTTTTAAGCAGTCCTAGTCTTCTCCATTTCAGAAGGTTTAAGAAATCCATTATGAAGTGATCTGTCAGCAGAAACTATGAACTATTAAGAGATAAGGAGCATGGAGGGGAATCATAAAAAGATTGTCTATCAAAAGGCTGGTATGTTATCTGTGCTATAGAAACAAAAATCAAATAAATGCTTCACTCTTGTAAGAGTTACTTCATCAGCTTTATTCAGTGCCATTCAGAAATGGAACTGACTAGTTTATTTAACTAGTTGGTTCAGGTGAACTGCTACCTGACCTAAGTTTGTTGGCCTTCTCAAGTCATTCATTACTACACTTATATACATACCAGACAAGCTATAGACTTCAATGCTTATGGCACCTGACATTAGTTTTTCCATTATTTTATATACAAACATTCTCATATTTCTCACAGAAATCACATACCCAATTTCTATAGCTTAGGAGAGTTAACTTTGAGCATTTATCACATGTTTTCCTATGATATCCAAGTAAATGGAACTCAGATACTCTAGAGTCTCCTGACTTCTCATATTGTGACCAAACCTTGGTTAATATTACATAGTCAGGTACAGTCATGTAATGTGAACAAGTTAACCCTAGTGGCCTAAATCATGAATAGCCACTGAAACTGGATAAACAGAAGGAAGCAATTACTTTAAAAGTGGTATTCAAATGCAGAAGGAAAAGTAGTAAGAACTATAACAGAAAGAAAAAGAGCAAATCATGCAAGTAATCAAATATATTATGCAAGAGAACCTGAGGGCTTTGTCCCTCAAAAAAAAGTTAACATTTTTTCTTGACCCTTACACTTCAAGACGCAAAAAAAAAAACCATAATAAACATATCAGATAGTCATACAAGAATTGATAACGCCTACCAAGTCCAAAAGCCCCATTCTAGCATAATCCAAACTGTGGGAATAAAATCCCTCCAAATAAATTGGAGCTATTTCTATGCACATCATTCCCTGCTACTTTGGT